ATTTAGTTAATGCAGTCTATTTTGTCTTGAATGGTCCTCACCATTTGCATCTCTGTTTTGTTAAGTTGGCTGGTCAGTGTTTTGTTTTTATTAATAAACTGTTTTATTGTGTATCCAGCCTTCCAGCCTCAGGCTGCATCCTTGGGTCCTAAAGCACCACATGCTGACAAAAGGAGCTGATAGAAACAAAGTTAAAAGCAGAGCCTGGTAGCAGTTGAGGTCAGATAAACAAGTGCTGACAGATGTGTTGTAATCCCAACATTATGATGTGGTTGTTTGTGTGTTCATTCAGCGGGCCCGTTAAACAAGGAGAACCTGAAATACACCCTACTTCTGGAGGTAATCGGGTGTCGACTGTTTGATGTGTGATGGTGAAATAATAAGCGACTGCAGCGTCATTATACAGAACCAGTTTGAAACAGAGAACACGAGCGCATGACTGAACTTGAGCTTCTGAGCAATATTCAGTTAGTTACAGAAAGTTGTGCCTCAAAGGAGCAGGTTTGTTTCTGGTATTTGTTCAGACTGAAGACGTACGGACATTAATGTGAAGAGATTGGAGGACAAAACGAAAAAGCTAAACAAGCTTAAGCCAATTATTTTTCACTTTGAGGATTCTTTGACATTTTTCACTTTTAGTTGCCTGATTAGTTTACAATGTTTCAAAAACAACAAAAACATATCCAAAACTGACCACAGTTCATGGGGATGTTTCACCAGATAAGTTGTTAAAGTAGCCTGCTCACACGTACTTTACAAAGATTAAATCAAAAAGCTGCATCACTTTAAATTTTAGAAGCAAGAATTAGGGGACATTTAGCACCCTTATCACCTGCTGCTAAAAAAATAAAACATTTTCCATGTGTTCACATGTGCAAAAAAAAAATAGCAAAATATCTCATAAATCAACAGATACATTTTACAAAACTCAAAAAGTAATAATTAGACTAACATGCTTTACTTTTGGAATCAATTCATGATGATCACCACAGCTAATCAACATTAGCAACACAAAAGTAATTATAACTCAGTCAACTTTACAGATAAGCTAAAATTTGTATTAGGGAAGTTTTTTCCAACACATATTGAKGCACTTCATCAATCCATAAGAGAGAAAACAATACCAACAAAATGTTTAAGTCTCACACATTTAGACAAGTTGTGTTGAAAAACTCATAGATGCAGCAGAAGAACTAAAYGAAGGAAAATTGTTTAATTGTTTAAGCTTAAGTTTGTTGTGAGTTTCAGTTTTTATTTTAAGGGGCAGATATGATTTTTTTCTTCACCTTGAAGCCTTTTTTCAGAACTTGTTTTTTCCTACCTTTAATTACTGTATACAGGTCCTTCTCAAAAAATTAGCATTTTGTGATAAAGTTCATTATTTTCTGTAATGTACTGATAAACATTAAACTTTCATATATTTTAGATTCATTGCACATCAACTGAAGTAGTTCAAGCCTTTTGTTGTTTCAATATTGATGATTTTGGCAAAAAAGTAAAGAAAAATCAAAAATCCCTATCTCAAAAAATTAGCATATTTCATCCGACCAATAAAAGAAAAGTGTTTTTTAATACAAAAAAAGTCAACCTTCAAATAATTATTCAGTTATGCACTCAATACTTGGTCAGGAATCCTTTTGCAGAAATGTCTGCTTCAATGTGGCGTGGCATGGAGGCAATCAGCCTGTGGCACTGCTGAGGTGTTATGGAGGTCCAGAATGCTTCGATAGCAGCCTTAAGCTCATCCAGAGTGTTGGGTCTTGTGTCTCTCATCTTTCTCTTCACAATATCCCACAGATTCTCTCTGGGGTTCAGGTCAGGAAAGTTGGCAGGCCAGTTGAACACAGTAATACCATGGTCAGTAAACCATTTACCAGTGGTTTTGGCACTGTGAGCAGGTGCCAGGTTGTGCTGAAAAATGAAATCTTCATCTCCATAAAGCTTTTCAGCAGATGGAAGCATGAAGTGCTCCAAAATCTCCTGACAGCTGCATTGACCCTGGCCTTGATAAAACACWGTGGACCAACACCAGCAGCTGACATGGCACCCCAGACCATCACTGACTGTGGGTACTTGACACAGGACTTCAGGCATTTTGGCATTTCCTTCTCCCCAGTCTTCCTCCAGACTCTGGATCCTTGATTTCTGAATGACATGCAGAATTTGCTTTCATCCGAAAAAAGTACTTTGGACCACTGAGCAACAGTCCAGTGCTGCTTCTCTGTAGCCCAGGTCAGGCCCTTCTGCTGCTGTTTCTGGTTCAAAAGTATCTTGACCTGGGGAATAAGGCACCTGTAGCCCATTTCCTGCACACGCCTGTGCACGGTGGCTCTGGAAGTTTGTACTCCAGACTCAGTCCACTGCTTCTGCAGGTCCCCCAAGGTCTGGAATCGGCCTTTCTCCACAATCTTCCTCAGGGTCCGGTCACCTCTTCTCATTGTGCAGCGTTTTCTGCCACACTTTTTCCTTCCCACAGACTTCCCACTGAGGTGCCTTGATACAGCACTCTGGGAACAGCCTATTGGTTCAGAAATGTCTTTCTGTGCTTAAGGGTGTCAATGATGGCCTTCTGGACAGCAGTCAGGTCAGCAGTCTTACCCATGATTGTGGTTTTGAGTAATGAACCAGACTGGGAGTTTTTAAAAGCCTCAGGAATCTTTTTCAGGTKTTTAGAGTTAATTTGTTGATTCAGATGATTAGTTTAATAAGTCGTTTAGAGAAACTTTTCATGATATGCTAATTTTTTGAGATAGGGATTTTTGGTTTTTCTTTACTTTTTGCCAAAATCATCAATTTTAAAACAATAAAAGGCTTGAACTACAGTTGGTGTGCAATGAATCTAAAGTATTTGAAAGTTTAATGTTTATCAGTACATTAAAGAAAAAAATGAACTTTATCACAATATGCTAATTTTTTGAGAAGGACCTGTATATATTTTATGTTTTTTGTAAAATAAATAAAAAATTTAATAAATAAAAATAAACTGTGGTTTTCCTTTATTGCTTTTGTGTCATCGGGCTTTTCAAAAACACCACTGCCGTTCTCTTAAAGCTCCATCCATCAGTCTGCTTCAGACGTCCATTGACTGGAGGCATTTCATGGTTGTTGTCTGGCAGACTCAGCAGGTGGTCAAGTTCCTGCCACTTGCCATCTGCTTCACGTTAACGTTTTAAAGCAAAAGTTGATCTTCCTACTTTAAAAATAGAAATAAACAAAAAACTACAAGTATTTAAGAAAAGAAAATACAAGATAAGCCAGAGAAGTTCAGGATAAAGTGATGGTCAGAAGTACATTGCATTAAAGTAACTTGTTGTTTTGTTCTCAGATTGTTTCCTTTCTACCACTGTCAGAGTGTGAGACGCTACAGAACAATCTGTAAATCAGGAGAAACAGTTTTAACCACTGCAGATTAGCTATCTAAGAAGGACAGCTCATTGCAGGGTTAATCTAGTTACTGTGGTCCTGGTGAGAACACGGTGCACTAGCAGTGATTCTGGCATTACCAGGAAATCATGCCCGAGGAAACTAAAAGTAATTTTAGGAATCAACCAAGTCAGACTGTAAGTTAGTGGGGTTGGGGGTAGAAAGGAAAACTTGCTGATTTGAGCCTGAAACAATGAGCAGTAAATTTTCTGCTCTGATGAAGAAGACAAATCTCCTTATGTAATGCCCCGTCACAGACCAGGAGTATTCAAAATGACAGCACGGTCTGACGTCACAGGTTGTTACAGACAATACAAATAAAGCTCAGCTTGTGCATGAAAGGCCACCAGTTGAATGTTGTCAATGACCTATATGCAGAGCGCCAAGTCCTTTTTACTATTCAGGAAGTACAGACACTGGGCCAGAGCTATTTTACTGTTGAATAGTCCAGTAAAATGAAAACATGAAGATATAGCTGATCTACAGACTGCTTCATGTGTTAATTTTGTGTTTTAAGTTGGATTTAACAAAAACCTTCCTGAAGAAATTTTCAGAAACGCCAAATCAATRATCGTCAAATTTTCTTCTATCAAACCCAAAAGAAATTAAGACTTTTTTGTAATAATCTAAACTGACTAAATGCCTATATCTGGATGCATAAACTGTATAAAAAATGTAAAGCGGACCTACATCAAACCAAATGGTAAACCTGCCAGTGGCTCATTAGGGTCGCAGCGGTGAGACAGGGAGACAAAAAACGCTAACTAGAAATTAAGCCTCACACTAACCACACTGTGTAAAAACTACAAAATAATGGTGAAATCTTCAAAAAAACAACACAATGCTAGTTCATTCATGTAAAGTCTAATGTTTTGTTGCCTATTCAAACTTTGAATGATGATGTGACGATGTATGCCTGAGCCCTAAAGACAGCTTGAAAACAAAAACAAAAATAGCATTTGAATAATACAGGTGCACTGATGATTATGCACTGAAACACCCTTTATGAATGCCAAAGAACAATACAATGTTTCACATAGACCAAGACACTGAACTGTCTGTAGCAAATTTGAAGCAAACAGCAGTTTTTTTAGACCAACAAACTTATTATTACATCTTTATGTCCTGTCTATTCTTTATTTTACAAATATTCTACTTTAACTTGGTATAATTTTTTTTTTCTTTTCTCTTATTCCTGTCCTCTCGGTGACCCAACTTTCCAAAAAATCCCATTACCATCAGCAAGATGAAGTTCAGAACAGAAAGCGAACATTTGTAGAAGGGAGACATTTCGGATGTGACAGTAGGGTGTGAGAGGAGATGATGCACAAACAGCTGAGCAGGACACAGGCAGAGCCAACTGTGCACCACAACACATTCAAACACAAACCAGGACACAATGGGCTCTGCAGCTGCCCCCCCGGTCTCCTCACCAACCCACAAGCAGCCACTGTTTTCCTCAGGTTTTTAGCTTCTCTCTCTCCTGACCCCTTTCTGTGTTTTGCTCTCATTCTGTCAAGTAATATTTCATCACCCCCACATGATCTCAGCAGGCTGGGCGCATTCAGGTCTCTTACCCCAATAACTAGAGAGGGGAGCCCATGTTCAGCACTCGCCCTCGTTTCACCGGCCAAGCCCTCATCCAGTGAAGTCATCCACACCCGCCCTGTTCACAAGGGCCAAGTCCGTTGTCTCGGCTCACACACACACGCAGGTGTGTTCCCGTCAAAGGCAAGTAGAGGAGGAAGTGTCGGAATAGTCCAAAGGCTGATCCCCAGCAGTCGTATAGTCCTCAGAGAAGCAGAGGAGGGGTGCAGGATCAGGATGTTGAACACTGCACTGGCTGCCTGGCTTTCCTCCCTGCACCAAGAGTGAAACTGCCCTTTCTCTGTCACACTCACACACACACACRCTGCACAACCCTCACACACTTCCCCTCTCTTCCTCACTGGTACGTCAGCTGGCTGACTTGTATTCACACACTGAGCGCTCAGATCAGGCAACAGTTGTTGTATCAACGCCGGGCCCCTCCTCTGCTTTCCCTCCCCCTTTTGCAGGTGGTTGCGTGGCAACTGGCTTCTGTGGGCAGGGCTTGCGCGAGTTCTCACATTGCTGCACACTCTGCTCCGAGAAGCCGCCTACTCAGGCTATATTTGCATACCAAGCCCTGCCTGCCCCTCTTTCTCTGTCCGGCTGGGCTCTGTGGTGGATGAAAGGGCCGGCGGCTGTGTGGGCTGTTGCAGAGGGGGGTGGAGGCTGGACTGAAACAGACCGTCTTCAGTGATGCAGCAGATTCCATCGGATCAATCAAAGACAGAACACACAGAGAAGTCGGCGCCAAGGAGGGGAAAAGTGATGGAAGCATCCAGAGGCTTACTTTGCTCATTTCACAGCGTTATAAAACTTATGAGTTCTTCAGGGGAAAAACAAACCAACATTTTTGGACCACATTTTTGTGTTCTTTATTCAGAAGCAAAAACCACGACCGCTTTTAGTTTCTAATTTTAAGTTATTTAGGTGCAAATTGAGATTTTGACAGCTCTTATGGCTTTGGGCAATTAACCTTGTTCATGCTTTTCTATTAAATTAACCTAAGACAATAAATTAAACTGTTGTGATTTGTTTTCTTGTTGTGGAAAGCCAGAAACCAAGAGCAATGCCAGTCCTATCTTTGATTAAAACTGCTCATCAAAGATTATTGCTACATTCATTTAGCTTTCTCCTCAGCAATTGTTGCTCGTCCGTCATCCATCCAAAATATAAACAGATACCAGCACAACACATCCCCTCTGCAACCTAAGGAACAATCACATTTTCTAGGTGCAAAGTTCAATTTGCTTTCATGCTTTAGCATTTTTTAAGTGTCAGCTAAGGTTTAGATAATTTCCTTAGTTATATGTTTCAGTAACTGAACTCAGCTCCTCTCAGCAAGTGCTGAAACAGGAGAGCCTAATAAACCCAGAATATTGCTGAAATTACAAGGAAACGTATCTTTTCACCATCTTTCAAACACACACATTGCCGTATTTTCAGTAAGAATTTTATGACTCACTTTGCTTCTCTTATGCTGAGTAGCAAACTGCTGAAGTTCTGAATCTTGATGCAAGAAGTCATATGTACACAAAATGACGAGGACAAAGAGATAAAATACTAGCAAAAGGAAAGAAAACCTAATTATGCGGAAAGGAATGCAACCCCTCCTACAACCTCCTTTCTCCTCACTGCCTGACCCCCATCTCAATACTTGCATTGGGTCAGAAAATAGCCTGGTTCTGTTTGTTTTTGTGTAGTTTGTTCATTTACAGTTCTATTCATGTCTACCTGACCTGCCTCGTTCATATGGGAAAACATTTATCATTAGCTGTTTTGTTTTCAGAAACAGAACATGCTTTCATAAAATGAACATAAACTGACTGAAACTAAAATATGATGATGAAGACCTGATTCTGCAGCTCTTCTTTCCATCTCCCCCAGCAGGATGTTCACAGAGATACAGGAACATTATTTTCCTGTCCTACAGATAACACCATTTCCTTATCAAGTGATGTTTCAACGTGACCTCAATAATGTTTCTCTTTTTTTTCATATCCCAGTTCTTCCTGCAGTGTTTACACAACTGTGTGAGAATATGCTGAAATGGATTTTACTTGGTTTCAGTCCCCCCAGAGTGCCGGTAAGAGAACATTTTGGGTTCAGGCCAAATGAGAAAAGAGAGCCAATAAACGCAACACTACACATCATGCTGAGGTTGTGTAAAACAGAGGAAAAACTCAGGGACAGTACCACCGATATAACAAGCGGTTATTAAAAMAAGATATTAAATGCATGTTTTATTAGATTACAAATATTTATCTGTATAGATTGCAACACAATGAACCAAAGACAAGGGAATAAAAACAAGTGAGATGTCTACCATAAAAAAGGGTGTGGAGCTGGATGTGAGAATGACTCTGGAAATCTGTTAGTTAAAAATGCAAAAAACAACATAATAAAATATGGAAAAAAAACTCTAAATATATAATATACTCTAGGTAAATGTATCGACTATAATTGGGTTTGAATCTGGATCTGAATCAGGCTGAATTATCTTTTTTTATTGTATAGTGCTTTTCAAAGACTTGTGAATTGGTGCTATATAATTAAACTGAAATAATTTACCATTATTAACTTTGATGTTAAAGCTAAGTTTTAAGCAAATTATAATTTTCATATAAAGCAAGTTAAACTGTCCTTGGGTTTCTGTGAACATCTGTGATTTGTTCAATCACAAGCAGGAATGTGGATAAGGTGAGAACTTTGTAAGATACACGGTACATTCTGACATTTGTACACTCGTCTTAAGAAAGGCCTGAGGGCCAAAACATTCATTAAAAAAAGTTCTTAATTTACACAGTAAGCCAAAAATGTACAACATTTTTTAAAGTTATTGTATTGCTAAAAGCTCCATTTTTGGCTTTTCATTAATAAACACTTCAGTCCTGATTTCCTCTAAAACACTTTTGACTGATGATTTCTGGGAGGACAGTTTGAAACTCAASGAAATTAGATATTAATACTGTTTCATTTTTTTGCCAATGTTATTTAAAATTCTGCACTTCAGATGCAATATTAATCTTTAACATTAAGATTAGATTTGACAGCCTGAAGGCACTAACTGAAGGATGGTGCAGTGAGGAGGTACAGAAGATCAAACTGCGAGCAAGTCGCACAAGGACAGACAGAAGTTAAAAGATTTGCAGATGATTTTCTCTTGGTAGCTTTATCTGTAAGAAAAGAAAACTGGGATCATAACATGTGTGACTAAAAAATAAGAACAAAATCAAATTGGGAAGTGAAAAGCCTGAAGAAAAGGGACAAAATAGGAAATTATAGGCACTAATGAGGGCAACACAAGATTTCTACATTTTGTAAGGATGAAGTTTAGATAATAAAACTTCTCAAAAAGGTACTGAAAACAATGAAGCAGAAGGTTGGATCATATTTGCTCATGAATATAACTTTTTTTAAAGAAACCACAAATTTGCAAATGCAAACTGCAAACAGTGATGTATTTTTAAGTTCCTCTAATCCATTCTTGCACTATTCTGTGAACAGAGACATACAATCTGGTCCATGCAATACAACCACTTGCTACAATAGAGCTTATCAGATGTGCTGTTAAATTTTGTTTTTCTATCTTACGTCTCACATTTCAAGCTTTAAAGAGCCCTGAAAACATTGTCCTTGTTTTTCATCGAGCATTGTAGACAAAAACAGTCCAAAACCTACAGCTAAAATAAGTAAAAATGTAGCACTTCCTGCATTGGATGTTAATTTATTGATTTGACACAAACACAAGTGAAACGAGGCTACTGGGTTAGAGTTGCCTGAGGGGAAAATTTCCACAGCTGGAGAGGTATCGTTTTATCTTTTTACAGAAAGATGTGCTGAAAGGTTCAATAATTACAATCACTGAAAAATTAGTCAACTTTCTTCACAAAACATTTTGGTACAGTATCCAAGAACGTCAACCGCTGCCTTTCATGCCAAAGTTTTAAACTAAGAAAATTTTGTGTTGAGAAATAACAGTTGTATCCATCCATCAATTATCTTTTACCTGATTTTTCTTTTCAGGGTGATGGGGTTTACTGGTGCCCATGAGTTGTAGGGGGGCAAACAGTCCAGGAGATGGTTGGGTTAGTCCAATCATGATCCCAGTGGTCTGTGTGCCATCACCAGCCTACTAAAACGCTTCAGGACTAAGAGTATTAGGGTCCCAGGGAGACAGCCATTCATACAGGTCACAGTGAACATCTTGGGTACAGGAAAGATGGCAACCATCAACARTTATTTAAACCCTGAAAATAACCTTTACTAATAATTCAATTCAATAATACTTTATTAATCCAAAAGGGAAATTAAATGTTGTTGTAACTCATTACCCTAGTTAAGTCCATCGTATGGTCAGAAAGTCTGGCAGAGCGATCCCAGAGTCAGAGATATAATGCTGCAGCCATATCTTAGTGAAACACATAATACAGCATTATTGATAATCTGGCTTGGTTTTTGTTAGGGCTTGAAGTTCATCCAACTTGTTACTTAATGATCTTACATTGCCTGTCATGAWCAATGGAAGAGATGGTTTAAACTTCCGTCTCCCTCTCTCCTCTTTGCTCCTGCTCTGCATCCATGGTGCCTCCTTTTCAACTCATTTGGGATTCGTAGTAGTTGAAGTATTATTTGAGCTTTAAAGATGTTAATCAGCTTCTCCCCATTATAACAAACCACCACATTGCTATTGTTATGCACCATAACTAACATCTAGGTGTTCACAAAAATCCTTCCAGCTGCACAGCATCTAATAGCAGAGGGAATAATCATCCAAAAAGTGATTTTTTATCCAGAAAAAGATGAATTAAAAAAAATTTAAAAAGAATTTCTCAGAATGAATGTAACAGAGCTACTCCAACATGCCTCCACCTTGAGTGGCGCAATTCTGGAACGTAATGTAAACATTTCAGATCCTGGATTCTCTTCATCTTGGTAAATTATGAGACTGACCAACATGTCACAGTTTTCTGTCTGTGTTACTGCCTGACTGTATGTGTGCTGAGCTGATCCATGGAAATAGACCATGTTTAGTTTGATGGTGCTGAAGCTGATGAACTAATCCRTCTGACTAATCAGTGTTTTAGTCAGTCCAAAGGTTTCTTCAACTCCCAGCGGACTGATACATTCAGCAGCCTCAGCATCATTGGCTTATAAAAGTCTACTCTCGACACACATACATTTGCCTCGTAACATGAATGTTGTCCATTGTGGAAACCTTGACAAATAAAACAAATGGTATTATGCTATTATGCATTTTGTTGTGTACTTGCAGCCTCTAGGATTGCAGAAAATTCTAATTTGGTGTCTCCCAGTGTTGCATAGACATCTTTATATTCTGTTTGGGTCATATTTATCAATCTGTTCTGTTAACTCTATTTTCTGATGTTTTCTGAACT